CTATGCTCCGCCTATCGTGAGTTTCCTCACGATCCATGCGCAGGGAGGTGGAGGACCCAATACTTAGGCAACTCGAACTAGGGAGACTGTAGTAGTGGCTGATGGCAGACAGAGCCTGCGCCTTAAATAGCAGTTGTGCGTAGAAATTGCGGCAACTGCTGGCCTGTACTATCGAGCAAGGTGAGGTATTACAGGTGGACCGCAGTTCTTATTCGGTGAAACATCCGGATAAGATGAGCAGCATGGGTCGACCAGCACGCTAAGTAAGTCCCTGAGGAAAAAAGGGCGCACCAACAGGGAGAGGCCTCTCATCTCTGCTACCATGCGGATTGGCCGTCCGATGAGGTAGCAGGGTGCGGTGTTATGCGGAATGTGGGCTGCTTGCTTGACGGCGGCTATGACACTCGGCGGTTCCAGTGTTACCCGTCGGGAAGACACCCTTCCCCCCTGAGGCGCTACAGTCAAACTATTTCGACCACAGTATGCAAAGTTCAGTACTCCAGCGAAGACCTCATAAGAGGTTACATAGTTCAGATTCAACAGCATACTACTGCCATAGTTCAGCAAATGCCCCCCACTCCCAAGATAGGTACGATCAAAGGGTAGCCACTCAATGCACCACGTATTCACTTCACATATCCCCCAGCACAGTAAGGACAGCTACACTGACAGCACCATAAGTAAACTAATCTTAGTTCAGCATAGAAGTCGAAGATAGTTCAGCTTGGCCACGATTTACCTTGGCCATAGTTCAGCCACATTTCATCTACCGACTTCTTACTAATCCATAAAGCATTTACCGATCACTTCATGAACCCGTTTTCAACTATTTAATTCATGATCGATTTCATTACTTACTCCATTTGCGTTATGCCTTTCTTAACATTCATGTTAATACCGCTCCGCTCGTTAACAATACGTCGCAAACACGAGTCAAACCTAGTAGTATATACTTCCAAATGGCCATTCTAGGTTAAACTCGACCTTGGGAGTCTTAGTGAAATATTGACAGCTATGGCAACATCCGGTCACATCAAGGGCCAGCTTACGAAAGCCACGAACGCGCTGAAGGCAAGAATCTCTCTAGTCCAGGAGATTCTGGTCAACAACTGCGCTGACGAGGTGAAAGCCGAGCAAGGCCCCCTTAGTCCAGCAGAAGTTAAACAACTTCTAGTAACATCGGCGACCGCATTAGTTCATCTCATGGAGACCCTACAAGGGAAGTGGACTAGTGCCGAAAATTACGCGAAAGGTGTAACAACCGAGGCTGAGCGTTTCGCCCTGCTTCAAGAGTTTGCTGACCATTGGGACAGCATTAGAGCGGACGAAGCACTCATCAACGCGAAAGCACTAGTCAGGTCGATAGAAGAACAGTTACGAGACCTTACCAAAACCCCGGTCACTCCCTTGAAGGTAGTCGACGTCTCCGATAGTTCAGCTTCTAGTTCAGAACTGTTGGTTCACGTGCCTAAGTTGGAGCTTCCGGACTTCTATGGAGAACCAAGCGCCTTTCCTGAGTTTTGGGAACTCTATCTAGCCGCGATACATAACAATCCTAGTATTCCAGCTGCGGTGAAGTTCCTACATCTTAAGAGCAAACTCAAGGGAAAAGCAAAGACCTATCGCCTCCATAGAACTGTCCCCTAACAACTACTTGGAAGCCGTCAACCTACTTCTTAGCACGTTCAATCGGCCAGACGTTCTTCGGAATAAACTGTTTGAGCAGTTGGAGGCCCTCAAGTCCAGCGTCCGAGTCGCCTATTGCACAACGTACCACCTTGTGCAAAATCAAGGCGATATGGATGCAACTTGAGAAACCTTAATGAACAGTCAGGAGCCACTGGGACGATGCGTGTTGCAAATTGCAACGAGATTCACCTTGCCTTCTATATTTACTTATATTATATGGTTATATTATATGGTTTATTCTTATATGGTTAGAACTTTTTTGCCTTTTCTTATCTGTTAGCTAATCAGACAGTTATATTTTCAAGACGTTTCAATGGCTTATCAGTTTCATGTTCAGGCCATGCTTACATATCCCCCGCTTGCCGGCTCTTCGCCCGTATACAATCCTTCGCCCAGAAGACCGTAGTTCAGTTCGAAATGCTCCAGAAGTTTGTGCTTCCACTCGTCCAATCCCAACAAGATCGGATCGCCCCATCGATCAATAGTGGAGAGTTGAAGTTCGGACCATCTATAGATTATCAAGATCACAGGGCGCTGATCTAACTTTGGCGCCCAAATCAGGGTATATAAACCTGAGAGTTTGTTCACTAGTTAGTTCGCTCACAAGTTCGCCTATATTCGGTTCTGCTAATAAATATTCCTAATCGTCTCTGATTGAAAACCGACCTCCGGCGGCCCGCAGACGTAACAGAAGCCTCGAGGGTAAGCAAGAGAGGACATTCGGCAATAGTGGAATAAACATTACATTTATTCACTTCAGTACATATAGCGAACCGCGTGGCCAGCGTATACATAGCTGTAAGGCGAGCCCCCAAGAAAAAGGATTCTAAAACTGGTGCATCGGCTCCAAGAAAGGATCCAGGTCTGTTTGAATCCAGGACTCATTGCCGATATTCCTCATCTGCGACTCTTTCAGTTACAAGAAAGGAGCTCGCAAAGTCTCTCAAGCACGAACAAGGCAAGAGCGGACACAGCCGAGATCCGGACAAAACAGGTCGGTTTCAGGTCTCTTCGGTTGTAAAAATTGTGGATCAATATGACATCTCAAGTGACCACTTGCAAACGCCTATTGAAGATGGCCTGCAATAGGCTGAGTCACATAGTAGAAAGCCTCAAGAATGGAATTTAGAAGGAAATCCCCTTAGACCCTTACATGTCACAAGAGATTCAAATAGAGAATCTAAGTCGACTCCAAGAAGGGATAAGCGCTATCGACGTGGCCGTAGAGAAAGTAGAGAAAAATCTCTTCGACTATGCGTCGGTGATAGATAGTGGGGACAATATTGGGAGCGAATCGGTAGATTACGAGTCCTACTATGCTAACACTGAGACCATCCTGTCCCAAGCGTTTGACCTGAAAGTTCTGCTTGAAGCACGGCGCCGCGCTAGTCCTCTCCTAACGTCCGTCAGTAGTAGACATCCAGTCGTACGAGTGAACGAAGCACGGACGAAAACAGTGGAGCTTCCTCCTATCCCCATCCCATCGTTCAGTGGCAACATATGGGAGTGGGACAACTTCTGGGAGATCTTTAACCACAACATCCATTCACAAGATCTTCCTCAGATGGTTAAGTTCAACTACCTGCTCAAGGCCTTGAAGGGTGAGGCAGAGAGGCAATCTCTAAATTCCAAATTTCTTCTTATTCTTCTTCTCCCTAGCGTTAGTCCCGCGCAGTCGCAGGGTCCGCTGTTTTTGTCAGTCGTCGCCACTTTGCTCTGTCCAGGGCATCTTCCATCGTGGCCGTGACCTCACCTAGGTCCTTCTTGATTACGTCTTTCCACCTTTTCTTTGGGGCTCCTCGCGGTCGCTTGCCTTGCACTTCGAAGTCCATCGCTGTTCTTATCGGATGGTCCTGTGGCCTCCTTAGCACATGCCCATACCATCGCAGACGCTGTTCCCGTACCTTCAGCTGGACAGGGGCAGTCTGCATGACCGCTCTGACATCCTCGTTTCTGACCCTGTCCAGCCGCGTCCAGCCGCAGGCCCATCTCAGCATCCTCATCTCAGCGGAGTGAAGCTGCCTTTCGTGATTCTTGCTCCTCTCGAAAATATAGAAAGGAATATTCTCTTTCT